TTTTTTTTTTTAGGAAACCTGGACGTGAGACGAAGCTGAACGACCAGGATTCAAAAAAAAGAACGAACTATGGTAAGTTCATTTCTTTTTTTGTTTTTTTTCTTTTTACTTGAGGAACGTAATTAACGTTCCCTTCCTTTTTTTAGGACAAGGACCAGATCCGAACCAGATTCAGATCAGATTCAAATCAGATTCAAATGGATCTGAACCAGATTCGGATCAGATTGAACCAGATCTGATCGGATTCAGATCAGATCAGATCTATTAAAATAAAAATCAGATCGGATCAGATTTAAGCTGAATCCGGTCTGAACCGATCTGTTAGGAGCACTAAATGATAATGATATATTACTATGACCATATTTCTGTTCTTAAAGAACCTGAAAACTCAAGGAATTAATAACTAATGGAATAATCATTGCAATGTAAAAATTGGTTTTAGCGCCAAAACCATAAGATGAATGTCCTTGAGATTTACTTATATGGTTGATAATAAATTTTAAATATTATTTGATATATATATATATATATTAAAATAAAAATGAATTTATTATGATCATATTTGACCCATATCGTTATTTTTATCTTATCATTTTTTTATTTTTATGATATCTATGAGATGATGATAATTACTAATTGGCTTTTATATATTGTTTATGTCCAAAAAAACTGTGAATTATTGTTCGCTGTGTTACATTAAAAGAAGCTTACATTTTCTACATAGTAATTAATCATTTGTATATAATTATTTTGATGGTTAGTGCGAGAATTTAAAGTTGATACGATTTTAATATAAGTAAAATTTTTTTAATTGGTTAATAAGATTCACTTGATCACCATGAAGTTTGAAAACCCTAAAAATATTATAATAATAAATTTGTAATATTACAAAGTAATATTACAAACAAAGGGAAGTCAAAGCGATTGTAATTAATTTTATTAAATTAAAAATTTAACTTGTCGAAATGTTTAAAAAAATTCTGTTGAGTCGAGACTTTAGAACTTTACAGAATTGGTCGCTACTATGCCACTTGATACTAAAAAAGATTATGCAACGAATCACAAAATTATTTATTGAATAAACCTAATGAATTACATATATAAATATTTAAATAACGTAATTTTTAAGTAATTTGCTTTTTTAGAATAATATCAAGTAACAAAAAAATATATTTGCAACCATTCAAATGATAATATTATATAGCATAAGCAAAAGAGTTTTTCAGTCAGACAAGTATTTTAACCATAACCTCATAAATTATTCTACAAGGATTAATAAAAGAGTTTTTCAGATACTCGTGTTAAATCTAAGTTTACTAATTAAACAATGATTTCATACATATATTTATCTCAGGCTGGAGTAACAAGAAAACTTCACCAATTAACATTCATCATTTTTGGTCACCAGATCTAAAATTTATGTTAATGTTATTTTTCTAATGGTAATACTTATTAAGTAAGGATAATTAATGCAAGTAATATAATCTTTCATTTACAGGAGTCATCTGCCCTAAACGAATAAAACTTGAGTACATATTGTATGCCAATTTTTTAATGGCCAGAAAATAATTAGGAGTCACTTTTATTGAATAATTCTGCAATAATCTTTCTAACAGCCCTCACAATACGCTGAATTCAAAAGTCCATAAAAAAGTATGTATTTTTCTGAAGATTCGTGCAAGAGTGAGAGTGAATCAAACTATCTTCTCCGGAAGAATGTGCATCTGTTACCGAAATATATCAGCAAGTAAAAGTCGACGGTTGGTTAAAATAAGTCGTATAAACACCAGGTTATCAACGGGATTCTTACTCAATACTACTTATCCGGTATTGTTCGTTAAGAATCGTTAAAATAAACAACTACAAAATACGATAATGATAACACATGTCAAGTAATAAATGAATATTATATCAAAACACACAGAAACAACAATTATCGATACGAATCATACGATGTATAACAGTTTTTATTAATAATCGTTATGAAGTGATAGGTAGTATAACAAAGCAATAATAAATGATGAAAGGTGGTAGGAAAAGGATTTCTACTATAACTGATAAGAATACAACTTATAGTACTGACTACTTTTATCAACGAGTTGGTGAAAGGTATTTATATCTATTCTCCATCTCTTTTTCCAACACCATCTATTATCATATCAAAATCTAATCTACCGATATGTTTTAAACACATAACGGAACATGTTTCATTGTAATATGGCTGGTTACTATAATAGTGATAAAAATAACCCATTATAAGCCCTTCTTTTAATAAGTCACGAATGACAATTTCTATTAGCTGATTATTATTAATCAGGCTATCCTTCATTGACTCTTAATATAGATCTTATACACTAATAATCTTTAATAATACAAATGTAGACAATAAATAAAATAATATAATATAAAAATAATATAAAATAATATAAACAAATATGTGATAAAAATAATTATTCTATCGCTACATATGTAAAAATAATAATAAAAATAATAATAAAATTTATAAAATAAAGAATATTATCTATATGGCTAATTTAATGTACACAACCTGCGGTCACAAATCGTTATGTAATGATAGAAATCGACATGGACACAAATTATATAAATGTCAGATAACGTTGGACATCGGATGCACATTTTATCGCATAACACATCTTATCATGAAGATCACGAAAATTATTAACATGAAAGCCATCATAATACGGCTCTCGCGCCCAACAATGCTATAGTAACTTTTGACCATGAAATTTTTTTTTATATCTTTCAATATCAAAACATAGTACTTTAGCAAACAATTTAGTTAGCCATTCTTTCTTTTTCTTGTATGTCAATTTTTCAATTTATCTACTATTTGCGCTAAATTTACTTGGTAGTGCAGAACGAAAACAAGGAAATATATGTGTATTCTAAATAAAATGAGTTCAAATTCTGGATAGTTAATAATTTTCATAAATGGAACAAACATCATATGCACAGTATCGCTTCTATAATTATACCGTACCATGCTGTAAACGATGTTACTTTTTAATCTCTACGATAATCAATTTTACCAATAGTGTCAAATATAATTCCAGTTTTTTCGATTTACAAAAAATCAAGTGAAAAACTTTTTGTTTATCATAAGTATGTCGATAAAATAAAAAAATAGAGTATAATACTTAACTTTTCCTAAATTTAAAAAAACATTAAAATTTTGATATAGTTGATATTTCTTATTGAAATTTAATTTATTCAAACATTTCTTTTTCAGCAGGCTTTCCAATAAATACTAATATTAAAAAAATAAATTGTGTACTCTTTTAATTTATTTATTTTTAGATTATATAGATGGGTCTATTCAAGGATAGATGGTGGAGATGAGTACCATTGAGTTCAAAATCATTGAATACAAGACACAGATGAAATATCCCTTAAAGATCAAACAGTATATTGTATAATCATATAAATTGATCAATGCTTGCACGGTTGCACCACCCCTTTCTAATTGATTAACGTTAATCGACTAATTAACCGATTAAGAGTTTAAACCAGTTCAAGATTTCTGATAACAATATAGACTTCGCTACTCATGATAACTTTTAACATGGATAAGCATCCAACTTAGAGTTAGAAACGGCAAATATTATAGACAACCTGATAATTTTATTCGGATAAAGATCGCTCTATCAGGATTTCTGTTGGTAATTTATTCTTTAAAAAATAATTATATCATACACTTTTACAATTTCCTATTTCTTTTTCGTGTTCATTTAATTCATTCTTTCTTCGGATTTCTAGTCGTCACCAGTGTTGGAAATTTAGAATTTAGATTATTTTATAAGTACAGAATTAATCATATAAAAAGAGTGTTTTTTTTTAAACCCAATAATATTTATTTAAATTTACTATAAAATTGAATACAAAATGAATAATATATAATAATTCCCTTAATAGATAATACAGTAAATATAAATTTGAATATACATTATACATATGACATATCCCTAATACATCTCATCTATAAATTCATAGGCTTTAATATATAAATCATTATATTCTTTAACTTTAATATTATATGATTCAAATTCCCTCAATTCATCTGTCATATTAAACAACTCACTTTTATACTTATGTATAATATATGTACTTACTTGGATTTCTATATATCCTTCAATAGCTAAATATTCAACCCTTTTTTCTTTCATAATATATTCCTTTATATATGGTAAAATATCATCAAATAAATTAATAATTCTGAATAATAATTTCTTAATAGAAATATGTTTTAAATTTTTTAAAAATACATCCCAAATATTTTTTCTAATCTGAGTATTAAAATATAAATTCAAATATTCTAACTTACAAGGAAGAACATGTGCTAATCTTAAAAACATTTCTATTGTAGATTCATCTTTTTCATTATGCGGAATTAAAACATATATAGAAAGATAATTAAGGTTTTGACCGAAAATATTGACTGAATCTAATGCAATATGAGTTTTCTGAATACTAGTCGTATATATATCAAAAAATTTAATTCTCTTACAATAATTATTAATAAATTCTAATGCTCTATATTTTAATACATCTTTTACATTTGAGCTAAATCCAATATTTTCTAAATATTCCCCAAAATTTTGAAATAATAATTGCATTAATAATACAATTTGTAAATTTCTATTTTCATCACTCATGAACAAATCATGTTCATCCTTTATAAATAAAGATATTAATTTAAATGGTTTGTTAAGATCAATGATTTGTTGAATAAAATTAGAATTAAAAATAAGACATTCAAGTATATGAATTGATTCTAAAACATTTAGTTGTTCAAATGCCTCTTTTATATGTAATATATTCCTAAAATTAATTCTATAAAATATGATTACCTTTAAAGGTTTTGAACTATTAGAATCACCTATGATATTATAAAATGGTATAATATCTGATGAAAATGGAAGTGTATGTTCATTTATATATTTAACATGAGCAAAAATAATTTTTTCAAGATTTCTTTGTGAATTAATAATTTGTGATAATATAATGTGATTATGTTTAAAACTTTTATATCCTGAAAATCTAACATGAAGTGATGAAATTAAATTGCAATGATAATAAAAACATTTTAAAAATTTATAATCAAATTTATATTTTACAATATCTTCATTAAAATGAAGTTTTAAATTTTTTAGTTTACTAATGAATTTTGGATTTTGTAAGATTAATTTAAAAATAGAATTAAAATATTTTCTACTCTCAAGGTATTTATAAGCAATTTCAATTTCAAAAGTGTATAATTTAGCTTCATTTTCGATAAATATTTTAATTAATAATAAAAAAATACGTCCTTTTGAACAGGTAAACATTTTGTTAGCTTCAATCCAATTTACAATAATGGAATATATGTTTCGTGTATTTATACATTTTATAAAATTGGAATAATTAAATAATGTTTTTGTAGGAAATACATTATTACTAATTCCACATCTACTTAATTGTGCTTTGTCTTTTTCATTTATTTTTTGTAAGTAAATTTCAATAAAGTGAAAATTTTTAGGATTTTTCATTGAAAACGGATCTTTCCATAATAATGGAATCGCAATTTGACACCAAAATTTATTAACTAAAATACATGAACGTAATGTTGGAATGTCATCCCTAAAATATTGAATAATATCATCTGTTAATTCGGGAAGATTTCCTAATAATACTTTTGAGCATGCCATATTGCAAACGAAAGAAAGAAAAAAGGGAGGAGTTTTTTTTTGAAATTATTAAAATTAGGGTATATTTATAATTATTTTCTTGATATATATGGCGATCAGGTGTCGGCATTTCGGCTATTCCATTCCATTTATAGATAACAAGGAATCATCATTTAACCAATCGGTTTTCAGAAAATCGCAAATGGTTAATTTATTAATTTATTCAGCTGCGAAAAATTCATATGATTTGTGCAAATTTATGTCGATCATTATGATACCCTCCTGGCCTCCTTAAATAATACTCTTTATGTGAACAATAACATATTAATACATGTATATACCCCAAAGTTACATAATTTTTTACTTTATTTAACCACACCAAATTTACATTTTCTGCAGTCATGTGATTTAGTTATATTAATTCATAATTTGTTTAGAATCTTCCTTGCTCCTCCTACCATCATCATAGTCTTGAAAAAATATTACCTTGATTTCAATGGAATAGATAGATGTTCAAATCCAAAATTCACAAAATCCCAAGATAGTAACAGATTTTTATATGTTGTATGTGGAATGAATAATGATTGTTATGTTGAATAAAAATAATTTATCTATCGAACGCGAAAAAAATCATTGACTTTGTTCCCTAATTTGTTTAATAAAATGGTATATATAAGTTTTGACAAATTTCATTAAAAAAAATAAATAAATAAATAAAGAACAAAGAATAAATGATATAAATTCATCAAATTATGTAAATTATGTACTAAAATCTGATTTTTACTGAAATGTAATTTTTAGACGAAAAACTTTAAGCAACTATTATTATTATTTTATGTACTGTACTTTCCTTTCTTCAACTATTAATTGGCTTGATTCTATAAGGGATAGTGCCATTATAAATAAATCCTTATTATTAGTATTATAATAATTTATGATGATAATAAGATATTTATGATAATAAGATATAGTATTTATTATATAAATGAAATTATTATTATGCAAAGATAGATATGCCTGACTCTTAGTTGCACTTGGTGAGTTTATAGAATATTCGACAAAATAAATAAATCTAATGTTATTTTTTGTTCTTAACTGTTAATATGTTTGCAATTATCGTAAGAGATATTGTTTATGGCTGTTTTATTATTATAAACAAGAGAATAGGTTATTGAACAACTAGAAGCAAGAATAATTATAAAGTCATAAAAGTAAATTTTCCTTTATAATATTACATAATACATTTTATTAAATTTGGATACTATTCAACTAGTATACTTTGGATACAGTGAATAAGCTTTTTTTTAAAAAGTATATTTTATTTTTATTAAATTATTAAAATTTATATAAATAAATTCATATTTCATAGAGTTAAATTTTTGCTTTAATCTATCTAATTCTATTAACATTGCATTATTTACTTTTATTGCCTTATAAAAAATGTTTGTCTGATAAATATTCGGAATGGAGTCAATTTTCCGGACATTTGCACGAATCGCACGCTATTATTCAATATTTGTTACAATTTAACACAAGATGCGGAGATTGGGAATTTTTAACCACATAAAAAACGTACAATATCATGATGAATGTCCAATAAATGACAAGTAAATGTTCGGAACGGGGTCGATTTTCCGAACAAAAAATCGAACAGTATTTGGACAATATTTTTTTAATGGGTTGCATCTTAGTCAAAAGAGCAAATTTATTTCTACTACAAATTAAAATACAATTAATAGATATCACTATTCCTCATTCTAACTTTATATTCTATACAGATGGATCAGTTAAATAAATTTGCACAGTCCAATGTTTGCTTTCACCTTTCATAACGTTATATATAGTTGTCTATAATTGATGATCCAAAATATTAGATCCCGAATTAAAAAGTCATTTTGTTTCAATTTCCTACATGGGCTAACTACTGGAGGTTTCAGACGTTAGTTATAGCCTTATAGGTAGTAATGCAATTTGCTGAGTCTGTGAAAGATAGTGCATGTGCTGTTGTATGGTAATGTGATTATTGCTGTTAGATTACCGGCAATGCAACGATGACAAATACAATGACATAGCAAATGAACTAGTCAAGGCTGGTTCGAGTATTAAAGACCCTATTCATTAGGTCTCATACAATGGAACAATGTTTATGTAATTGACTATAACATTAGAAAATGGAGTAACACCATCTGTCATACAAGCTCGAATTTTCACATCAGTTAACAATTCTACATTAAACGTCATATCCTAGAATATAATATAGATTGGTATTATACCAAACGATGGATCAATCACAACCCTTTTGACACTCCAACGAATGATATACTCTCATCCCTACAAAGTTCACGTATCAAAAAGGCCAACTTTATTTATCCGACGGCTGGCATACTTCAACGTAATTATCTACGACTCTATCCATCAGGACCAATACTTTGCATAGATTGTACACAACACCTGAAACTAATGATTATGTTGGATTATGCAACCATCATTATAACAAAATTTGGGACATTTTACGCAAATTCAAGCCTATTTTGAAGGACATTAACTTTAAATATGCCACTGACTAAACTTTTGACCTACATAGTGTTCCGAAAGGGTCGGGTCAAACCCGGGTCATTTGACCCGACCCGTGTTTAAAATCTGAATCAGGTTTATCATTATTTGACACGAGTCTTATATTCAACCTGACTCGTCGGGTCAGGGTCACACCTTTGCTTGACCCGGGTTGACCTGGGTTGACCCAGGTTTAATCAAATATTTATATTTAAAATATTTATAAACGTTTACATTACACGATTTTTAATTTCTAACTTTGTTTGTGTATAAAATGAGTGAAGCTGAGAAATTAACTCTTGGAAAGCGAACTTATTTAAGAAGTCTATAACACTTGAGCAGATCGAAATCAAGATGTTCTACTATGATGGAAGATATATGTTTAATAATAACTAGTCTATTTTATTAGATTTTATTAATTGTTATGAAAATATACTAGTTAAATATAGTAAAGTATTCACAGTTTCACACCTAGCAGCAATGGTAAGAGATTATATTGTAATCATTGAATAATATTAAAATTGGTTAAATTTTTTTTTTACCTGTAATTGAAAGTGTTACAGTTGAAGATTTTTTCTGGAGGAACCGGCCAAAAGAAGCAATCTAAAACCAAATACAAATCACGCGTTATATGTTTGAAATCAGGCTGGGCGTAAGGAGGATTTAAAAAATTATAAAATATCTGAAAATTTTATTTGGACCCGGGTTATCCGGGGGGGGCGTAAGGAGGATTTAAAAAATTATAAAATATCTGAAAATTTTATTTGGACCCGGGTTATCCGGGGGTTAAACTATATCGGGTCAGATCAGAGGTCGGGTCATGTAAATATTAACCCGGGTATTTGTACGGGTTGGTTTTTATACTCAGGTCAAGTTCGAATACATCCTCAAACCCGACCCGACTCGACCCTTTCGGAACACTAGACCTACATCATCGTATCAACAATTCAACGTTTGTTGATACTATCAATGTCTTTACAGCATCCAACAATTTGTCAAGTGACCACCTTGTTTATTTGCTTCTTTACAATTTAATCCCAGCAGATTTAACTGCCCTATTTTACAATTATATAGGTAAAAGTCGTCTTCGAGACGCCGCCTTCAAAGTATTTATTACCACATTGATGCAAGAAATTAACACATCAATATGGAACGAACGTTCATCTAAATTCAAACAGTGGGAACTTCACAGAGAAAAAGAAGAAATGTTATTATGTTATTATAACCATTACTTCAAATGAGATCATAATAATGTCTCAGTAAACTACAACAACATCGCATCGATGATATAATTATGCATCATGCACCTTTCACAATACTTCCCTATATTCAACCGAGGGACGTATTGACAATAATGCACATATTCGGTAGACATCTAGTAATTTTTTACATTCTGGTTCTTTGGAAACATATAGAGATAGTTTATTATTTGATACTATAGATTTGTGGATTTATATAATATTTTTTATGATTTTTCTTTAATTAATAAATAATTCTATCTAGTCTAACTACATATTTTTATTTCTTCTATTAATTTTATACCTCGGTGGGTTCGGCTGTGCTTTTTAAGCATTCCGTTCATGATTCTATTTTACATCAAGGTGACATTACCCTCACGGCTATAGTGATTTGATTATCAGTTGTT